CATGATGCCATTTCTAACCTTAGGTCCCTGTGTGGGACCCGGAAAGAAATGTGTAAATGCCAGAAATCAAAGGAAATAAAAATAATAATAATAAAAATAATAATACTAAGTTGCAGAAAATCGGTATAAGCGTGTGTCTTGTAGAACAATTAAAGAATTTGAAAATCCCAGAATATTCTTATGATTTTCAGACAGGCAAAGTGATACGCCATGGCCGAACGGATATTATTGCGCTAAGTCAAAGTACCAAGAACTGTCATTTTATTGATGCTGCCAAATAAAATGACACAATTCTAGCAAACAAAGTGATTGAGAAAATTTCAAATTACTCTGATTTGAAAATTGAGATGACAAGATTGTTTGGAATGCAGGAAGGTGGTTCCAGTGGGAATTGGTTGATTGGGATCAATCCCATTAAAACTCTGTGACTTCCCTAACCAGGAAGGGATACCATATGAACTCTTTTGGGTACTACACATATTTTGAAGAAAGTGAAGTGTTGTCTTTCGATGGTCCTTGTTGTTGACAGATAGCTTAATGTAACCAGGGTGTTCAAAAACTCTGTGACATAACAATATTAATAATCCAGTTGTTTCGACAACGAAAAAACAGGAAGGTCAAGCGGAAATATAACATTAACGACGTCAATTCCATCTTCAATTAAAGACACAGAGAATAGGTCGATATGATAAGTGTTTTAGTCATAAAATGTTACATTTTAAACAGATCTATGAAACAGATGGATTCAGGCACTTAAAATTACTCACTGACATGATAATACCGAACAAATTAATAAAACAAGATGATATGAAAAGCGTTGTAGGTTCTATGGACTAAATAAGATACTTCAATTATTCAGGCTGTTATCCTCGTCTTCACTGGTATATTCACAACGTTTCAGATGTTGTACTCTTGGGCCTTCTTCAATGATTGTAATTTTTCTTCAGTAACTTTCTATATCTCTGAGATGAGGTATTATGATTACCTGCATTATTTACATTATTCAGACTGTTATCTCTATCTTCATTACCATATTCACAACGTTTCGGCCGTTGTACGCTCAGGCCTTCTTCAAGTGATTGGAATTTTTCTTCAGTATATGTCTATATTTTTGAGATGAGGTATTATGATTACCTGCATTATTTACATTATTCGGACTGTTATCTCCATCTTCATTATCATATTCACAACGTTTCGGCCGTTGTACACTCCAGCCTTCTTCAAGTGATTGGAATTTTTCTTCAGTATCTGTCTATATCTCTGAGATGAGGTATTATGATTACTTGCATTATTTAAATTATTCGGACTGTTATCCTCATTTTCATTGCCATATTCACAACATTTCGGACGTTACACGCTCCGGCCTTCTTCAGGTGATTGTAATTTCGAACCTAGCCCTTTATTTCGTCCAACGGATTAGATAATTCTAGTTCCACGTGCCATGCTTGTTCCGGATATCTCAGTTATTTCCCTTTAACTCATTTTTTTTTTTTTGGTTCACCACTGCTGTGGCTTGGTATTGAACTCACAACTCTTTGGGTCTAGTCATTCGATATAAATTATTCTTTTATATTTATCTCTTTCAGTGCTGATGGAATTTTATTTTCAATTTTTTAGTAAACACTAAAATTCAAAAATTCATTGATTATTATCAGGGATGGTGAACGATCGAAGGCTTTACACTTTTGCTATTCAGTTGAAATTTTAACTAGAAATGATTTTAAAGTATTTAACAGCATTGCCCTAACAAAAGTCTCGCTACGATGTTTCGTCTTTTATTCATGAGTTAACAATCCAATAGCGTGAAATCGGATCATTATTCTATTATATTCGACTTGCAATATTTCCTGAACGCGTTCTACTGAAATCAGTGGCCATTTTAAGCGCGTCATACGTGCTTGTTAAACAATTTAAAGGAAAATGGAAAACAAAAAGGTAACTTATATTTAGAACCAGAAAAGAGTTATTTGACATTTCTTGGGTACATAATGAGGAAAGATGGCTTGGGAAATTTTACGCTTCCTGGGAATATTGAGCGAAAGAAACAAAGAGCGACATTGAGAAACCTATCTAGAGAGCTTTTGTAAATGGATGACAGAAAAGAAAGTGAGATTGATTGCAAAAAATACAAAAGATATTTATAAGGGCTACAAATTCAAAAAAATTCTGGAGAGCCCTGACTGCCCACCTCCTGATGTAAAGAAGAACATCCTTGTCTGGTTAAAGCTCAGTATACGGAAGAATTTAGTTATGATCGAATATTTGAAACACTTACCAAAACACTACATATATCTTTATACCTATCCCGACATGTTGCCAAACTGCATGATTTTAAACGTGCCGCTAGGCCGGTATTTCAGCCCCACCCTTTCACTATCGAAACGGTTAAATGCTGCCGTCTCTTCTACTCCAATAGCTTCATATCTCACACTTCCTGTCTGTGGAACTCCCTTCCTGTTACTTGCTTCCCTGAGAGCTATAATCTCCAACTATTCAAATGCAATGTCAATCGACATCTCCAGATGCTTTGATCTATTCCCCACCCTTCTCTTGATCCTTTCGTCTTCCACGCCTCTTTACCCTTGCACCAACTTTCTGTGGCCCCTTACGTGCTAGTGCCACTCTCGCTTTGCGTGGGGTGAAAAGTTTTTTAAAAAAAATGTAAAACTGTTTTTTTTTTTTTGTTTTTTTTTGTTTTTTTTTACAAAGACTAACATTCACGCATTCTAATAATACCCTAACCCTATATGACTGCATAGGCGAGTTTACAAAGATGACAGCTGCCTTTTATTTTCATATATTACGACCCTAACATAAATAGAAATCTTTGTCAAATTATCGTCGCTTCTATATCTGTCTCCACACACATTCGCCCCAAAACACACCCACAAAATACCCGCAGTTACCGACATAGCAAACTTTGTCACGTTTACCTACAAGCCCACCACGGAATAACTTGTTTCCTCCGGCCTTTTCATGCATGAGCGCCGAACTGATGGTAACGACGCCAAATGAAGTTACTAGTGAAGGTGTGGTCCTGCCAAAACGAACGGGAGTGGGCACCCATACGCACGGACAGGAACCTGCAAGAGACACAATGAAATCCTGAAAAGACCATATTGGAGCTTGCAAAGAAGACAGCAAATATTGAAAACAGAATTATCACGGTGGGGAGGGCTGATATCGACACGGACAATAATAGTTAAACGCATCTAAGATGACCAGCTGAACTGGACATTGACGAGGCAGACTGGCCGAAATGAGTCAACCTTTTTGTACATGTCGACCTTCTTGCTATAAAATGAGTCTGGTGGTTGTGGGGGTAATTTGCCGGTCGGCAAGTGTTGGATAGTTAAACTTCCTTCACGTTCGTTGACCAGTACGTGTGTGTCTGGATTTGCTTCCACAGCCACCGACGACCGATTGATATGCAAATGAGCAAGCTGTGATGGCGGTGAAGGGCAGCAACAAAGTATTAAAAGATGACGAATCTTGTCAGGTAGGGGAATGGAACTGTAGTGGGTCAAGGGGTCAAAGTCGTTCGGATTCCCAAAAGGCTGATCAGACCGGGAAATGCTGAAAATCATTGCAGATTTAGCGCCTCTTGAAAAATAATTTCATTCCAGAATGTCATTGTTGTCGCCATTTATTTCGAATGTGAAATGACGGATAGCATGGCCGAAAAGTTGTGAAGATAGTGAGCGTTCAACTACAGTGGTACAATAAATAGAAAGCTTGCCTCACATGTTCTCGTTTTTTTAGTGAGTTCGATCCTCACTTGATGCAGATATACCTGGCACCCAGAATCAGATAAAATTAATAAAATAGACTAAATGCGTACCCCAGGGTACCGAACAGCGACTACTAATATCACTCTTCAAAAACTGTCTCAGCAGTTCACCAAATCCTTTGATGAAGTACCTTTCTTCACGTTGGTTCTACACTAAGTTTAGCCCACTGACTCCAAAGGGATAAATGCATATATTTCCCGGTTGTCATTTGTCACATAACTGTTACATTCTATTTTTGATGCAATATCACCTCAGGACGTGGGCGATTATGATTCTCCACATTTCCTTTGTCTTTATTATATATAAATTGGATTCCTTTTCTTCATCATCTGTTAATTGCCATGACCTCTTGGGAAATATAGTCGAGTGGTTTCCTACTACTTTGTCAACGGTTTTGCAGTTACACTTCAATTAGACTAGCTGCCACTAAAGGCTACAGAACACTGCTTACTGTCTTTAAGCTAGACATAGCAACATTTTTCGAACAGTGAGCCGCATAAGGCACAGTTCATCATAAGGCGGGCCGCACTACGTTTTAGTAGATTTAGATTTTTTTCATTACAGATACGGCAGCCATTTTCCCAACCAAAGAGCATGCGCATAAGAATCTACCTTAGCAATGGAGAAAAGCTGATTTCTGATATAAGATTATCACTGATGACAGAATGATTAACACACACTGCTGTTTGTGATTTATTTCTAATTTATTCATTTGACGATGAAAAAACATTTTTTTAAAAAGAAGTATATTTATTCTCTTGAGAAAGAATAATTATCATTAACGTTTCCGGTTTCTAAAAGGTGTTTTTACACTTATGATCTTCCTTAATGAAAATCGCCAATGATTTAAACTACTGACAAATTTGCCTTTAATGAAATGTTACAAAATTCAATCTACATTGTTCTTAATCAATGTTTATGGATGTGGCTATGCATCAGTAAACAAGCGAGAACAAAAAGAAATAAACAATATTTTAGTAACGTTATTTTCGTCATTACATTAGACGTGATATTCAGGATGCCAATCGGGCAGCAGGTGGCCCGCGGGCCGCAGTTTACCCATGAATTCTTTAACCCATAGATTGGGACGAGAAAAGATAGATTATTACTTTCTCCAAGTCCATTAGTGCGTAAGGGAATACGACGGACGAGGCCTAAAATTGTTAGCCTTGCAGAGAGTTTTCAAAAATTATTGTTTTTCTAATGTCTTATGGCCATATCACGTTGACACACCAGTTCCCGTATGATCACTGAAGTTAAACAACGTCGAATTTAGTGATTACCTAGATCGGTTATCGATTGGGAATACCAGGTGGTGTTAGCCTGGATGTGCGGGTGGTGTAATGAATAACTGGAAATCGAAGAGCCAAGTTTCAATTCGCGTTAGGTTCGTTATATTTACTAGCACTTAAATAAACTTGGGAAAAGGTATGAAGCCATGTCTTCTCCCCCCACCCAGCTTTGGATTAAAAGAAAATATTTAGTAAATTCCAGGAAGATTTTAAAACACGCATTCATCACCTAAATTACGGATTCTCAGTCAACAAAATACGAAAAGAAATTCCATACCTTTTGTATATATTGTTAATGACAATAGGAAAAAAATCTTCGTTTTTGCTGACACGTTTCGACTTCCGATTTTATCAAGGCAAACAATGAAAGCGAAATATTTTTGTTGTCTAGACTTATTGTATATAAATTACAATTGTGGCACTGGGCCAAAAATGGTGGTGGGGGGAATTGAGGTTGGTCATCACTTACTATCTTATAGCTAGCTAATCAGATTCACGGCCCATTCACTCATTACAATTTGCACATCTACCAAAAGAACATATCCATCATCATTCAATACTTCATATAACACAAAACTGCATACTCTAAGGGACCTACAAAAACATCCCATGACATAAAAATTAGCGATTATAAAATTTACTTATGTGTGTGTGTGTGTGTGTGTGTGTGTGTGTGTGTGTGTGTGTGTGTGTGTGTGTGTGTGTGTGTGTGTGTGTGTGTGTATTAAAAACGACAAACATTTCGTCGATCAATTTTAATGGTCGACTTTTCCAAGTTCCGAATAATCCTTCTTAGAAAGGAAACTATTCCGCCAGAAAATGCCCGCAGATCTTTTCACAAGAAAAGTACAAGAAATAGGTTCCAACCTTTCAACTTTCTGAAGTCATCATCAGGGTAGGTAGAAAGAATTGGTGGGTTTAGTCAAAATTTGAAAATGGTGTGTGACAATGCTATTTTTTAAAAAAATAAGCTGTTAGGCATATGTGATAAAAGCCGATATTTATTGTATATAAAATACAATTGTGGCACAAGGCCGATAATGGTGGGGTTGGGCTGAGGTTGGTCATCACTTACTATCGTATAGCTAGCTAATCAGATTCACGGTCCATTCACTCATTACAATTTACACATCTACCAAAAGAACTTATCCATCATCATTCAATCCTCCATATAACACAATACAGCATCCGCTATAATATTATAGTTCTTTCTAGTATTGATGGGGCTTTCCTTCCTAATCTTTTGTTTCAGTTAATGTGGAAGTTCATCACCTTGATTCTACCATTATTAGTTACTTGTCCTATCCACTTTTTGCTGTGGGAAGTTTTCAGCTAAAGAGATTTAATATCTAACAAAGCTTATTGTGATTCTGCATCGCCAGTCAGTAGCATCTGATGAAGCATTGCCTTCTTTCAAATCTGACGGATTCATTCGATGGAATCCATTTTCAACCCTTGATTTGAGAAAACGTTTGTATATTAACGGGTTGAACGCCACTTATGACGTCTATCTTCTCCATATTCAATATCCTTGTGCCAGACTAGCTAAATTATAGTAAATATCTGTATGGGTACAGTTATCCGTCATTGTTTGCCCTCGTTCCAAAAAGAAACAAATTCGGAACATTTCTTTGTCGTATAATATCCACAAAACATTGTTTTTCTGCTACCCTTTTTTGCACCACTAATACATTGAAATCTCAAATCTCTCCCTATATCAAATAAACGGGAACAGGAAAACCAATCAATACTATCAGCTCCCCACCCAACGATTCAGACTGACCCGATATATTCTTGACTTCCTGAAATAAATACAGATACTGACCTGAGTTTTCTTTGGAAAGAGATTCGATCCAAGAAATAAAAAAAAAGCTTTTCCGGGTTTCATAGTGACAGATGTTGCCAAAAAAAGAAATACAGTCAGGTCAGGGAAGAAAATGGCCACTGCATATTCATGGCCAGATCTGACAACGACACACTTCCTAAACCTATTGTTTGCCATTATCAGTGGCAGGCTGAAGGCCGTGAGGTCTACAGGTCAATCCGTGGGGCTTATACTCTGAGATCCGTTGCTGAACTCCGCAAATATGATCTCCATTAATTGTGGTCTAGAAAGAGAAGTGCTTGTTGGTCAAGGATTTTTCTTTTCAGCAGAAGAATATCTATTTTTGTGGCCCTTAACCAAAAGAAAATCTGCAGAAATCATTTCAAAAATAATTTCTAGCAAATTCATAACTGAATATTGCTTTTAGTATTGGTAATTGTAATGGTAATATTAGCCGTTTCCGAATAAGGAAACATTTATTGACTGAGCAGCAAAAATTAACTACTTGGTAATCGGGCTGAGATCAAAGTGTAGTATCTGTTCTCATCATTTGTAATGGTAATAGTAATATTATATGTTTTCTTATAAAGAAACATCTGGTGATATCGGTCCTCCTATATGGTAGTGAATACCAGAAAATTTCCTCAAAATGAAGAAGAGGCTTGGTGCAATAGTAATGTCGTCCTACAGATGAATACTGTGATTATTACGGACCGAAACTATGAGCAACGACAAAGATTTATCGAAAAATAAATCAAAATGGACACTTAAAATGAAAATGAGAAAAAAGACAGTTGGAATTCCTCCAGGAGGTAATGAAGAAAGAGGGCTTGAAGAATTTGACACACACAGGATATGTTGAAGCCAAGAAGGAACAGAGAAAAGCGGCAAAGAACATTTGTGTTATTGGGTGACCGAATAAGGATTAGGAGAGATAGCAAAAAGTCAAACCATATTAAGAGCTACAAAGGATAGGATGTTGTGGAGAGCCATGACCGACAACGTTCTTAAGGAGAACAGCACACAGCAGAAGATTTATTATTCCCTCTAATGATAACTGGCACTTCCTGCAAAGACCAAGTGATATTCCAGCGTCTTTCTCAATATTCTCATTCATTATTATTATTAACAGTTAATTTTATTTCCTTCCGGGTCTCAGTAAGATACCTAAGGTCGAAAATGGCTTCATGACATTACCAAATGAATATTTGTGTGTCCTGGGTATGACGATAAACTACATCCGGCAGCAAGGCCTCTGATCAAGAGGTTTTGAGGAGCGTGGAACCACCTCTTAATTTGTATTTACTCAAACCCCCACGATGTCAGGTTGTGACACAAGGCGGGTTTAATGTGGGGAGCCTGAGTACGTACACCCGGGCTAGGAACAAAAATTCCCCGAGCATCCGCAACCATTGGTTGCGCTGGCCTCGGTGCGAGCACAGATCCATTTACCTGGTGCAATGACAGGGCGCAACCTCAGGCAGGTGTTCTCCAGGGCTGGACACCTCTCAGTATAATTTTCCTCAGTTGCCACTCTGTCCATTGATGGAGCCGCGTCTGAGCGCAAACTGCCCAAAAACAGAAACGCAACTGAGAGATGATAAATACGTGTTACAAACTACTATTAATTGCTGGTGATCCTATGTCCATCCTGAATCTGGGTGGTAGCAACTGTTAGGGTCCATGCTATGGGCAAAGAGTTGACCTACTCCAAACTGAGGTCAAAACACCATGAAAGTGTAAAAATAGGATTTTATACCAACAATACTTTTTTGTAAAAAAAATATTACTAGCAATGAATATTTGAAGAAAAATTATTACCAACAATACATTTTAAAAAAAAAAACTACCAGCAGTAAATTTTTTTGGAAAAAATATTACAAACAATACTTTCTTTAAAAAATAAAATAATTAACAGAAAAGCATTTTAAAAAATATTACCAACAATACATTTTTGAAAAAAAAAATACCAGCAGTACATTTTTGGGAAAAAAATTACAAGCAATATTTTCTTTACAAATAAAATAATTAACAGAAATGCATTTTAAAAATATATTACCAGCCGTACATTTTTTATAAAAAAGATAATACCGACAATACATTTTAAAAAGGAAAAAAAAATATTACTAGCAATACATTTTTGAAAAAAAGACATATGCTAAATGCCTCTTAATGGGTTACCAGAAATGCCATAGTACAGAACAAAGGTTACTAATATCACTATTCAAAAACTCTCTGCCGTTCACCAAATCCTTCGATGAAGTACCATGGCTACTTTCTTCACGTTGGTTCTACACTAAGTCTAGCCCACTGACACCAAATTGTTAAATGCTTATATATTTTTCCCAGCAATATATTGTTGGAAACAAAAATATTAGCAGCAATATATTTTTGAAAAAAATATTACCAGCAATAAAAATTTTGTCGGCGTTAAATAACCTATTGAGGTTGATATACCGTAAAACAAAACAAACCAAACCAATCAAAAAAAAAAAAAAAAAAGAAAAAATGATTCATAAAAGCTAAAAATATTTTCTGGCTTTAAATAACCTGTAAAGGGTTGATAAACCATCAAAAACGAATCAATCAACATTCTCTAAAAAAATTTTAAAAAAAATAAAACAATGAATGTAAACTCATTTTCATAGAAAAATATCTTCGTAATGTGTGAGCTGTAATAGTGAGAAAATGTTTCTGTATTTGTGTAAGGCATGGGTTACCAGAAATCCTTTCAGTTAATCTATCGGAACCTATACCAATTAATCCGAATCTCCATTCACAATTAGAATTATTCATGTTTTCATATGCCACATTTTTGAGACTTCTGCATCAAGATCCTTGTACTTTTGATAGTTTTTTGAAGAAAGTGATAATCAAGTGGATTGGAAATATATCGTTAGGGGATTAAATAAAATATGCATACTTTCTTTATTGTTTTCATGTTTAAGTATAGTTGTGTTTTCAACAAGGATTTTCCGGAATTGTGTATGCAACCAGGCATGTTGTTTTAAATGCCTAATGTTAGAGTTATCACTCAAATGTAGTGTCAAGTGTCGTGAAAGCGAGTTTGTGGTGTGACCAACATAAATATTATGTAATCCATTGGAGATACAATCTCCCAAAGGGCACTTGAATTTGTAAACTATGCTGTTTTTTTGCAAATCATTAACAGGGAGGTGGGAAAGAATCATTGCGAATAATTAA